TTTAGTGCTATTTTTCAAATCTCCATCATCAGAGACAAAATGATAGAAACAATGAATTTGTCCTACTACACAGAATTGGCACTTACCTTTCTGTTATTTTGCAGCTGATACATTTCAACCCCATTTTTATAGGTCTTCCCCCCCCCACCTTGGATCAGCATAAGTGATCTGTTTAAATGTACATCAGAATTAAACTTAACCAGATAAACCTATAAACTGGGTTAAGAAGTATGTGAACTGGAAAATAAATACAACTGCATGCAGTTTTGGGAAGAGACACCTTTGATTTAAGGAGTTGCAAGCAGATGCTACATTCATACTGATGCAGACTCTGAAGCATCTTGCTTCCTTCAAATGTGAAACAGCATTAATTTGCATGAGTTGCAAATACTTTTGTATTATTTTTATTTCAATATTATTTTTGTACTTTAAGACATGATAATTCAATACCATAGTTTTCCAGTTCTGATTTGAGGGAAATGGTTGTTAGAACCCATTCTTTTCCTGGGGGGGGGGGGGAGTCTATTTTTTTCCTAATTCATTTCTTTCTTAGGGTTCTGCCATTCTCTCTGCTTTGCTACAATGTATCCTTTTCTGCTGTTCCTGCATGCTGACTCTTTGAACTGTCTCTCCCTTGATGTTACCTTGGGGTGAGAAAGGAATGTGCCTCTGGCCATCTGGCTTATCTCTCGCTGGGGAAGGGCAAAGTCAAAGAAATGAAATCCTCCAATATTTTGAAATATTGCAAGGCTTCTAGGAACACAAAAAAGAAACCATGCTGTTATTTGTATTGTGTCAAATGTTTCAATGGTGAGTCACATCATGTTTGTTTGTTTATTTATTTATTTGTTTGTTTGTTTGTTTATGTACCAAATTTAGCTAATGCCCATCTCACTCACAGAGCAACTCTTCCATATTCCCCATTGGAACTAGGAAAATTATGACAATTGTCCACAAAAAGGAAATAGTATAGGAGCAAATAAAATGCAGACTACTTGGCAATTCTATATATAAGTAATTCAGTGAAATATTATTTTACCAGACATTGATATAGTAGATTTTAAGTGGAGTAGAACAAACTATGGCAGAAACGATGCAAATAGAATTCAGAAATGAAATTACATCATTTGCATGGGGATCAAGATAATTATGCAAATGATGTAAATCCTCACTCTTGGAATCATCAGACTTTCCTCAATATCAGATGTCCCTCAGTTAATCTGCTAAATTGAGATTTTACCATAATATAATTGATAGGCAGACAAGGCACTGCATAAGAAAAGTTAAAATAGAAACAGCTCATTCCCGTGAAGCTGTCACAGGTGTCAAAAAGGGCAGTTTCTTAACCATTTTAACATTTTTACTGAGTTGAAAATCTTTATGCTGTAATCTGTCTTGGGAGTTTTTTTGTTGCTGTAAGAATTGCAGCTTAGAAAATTTTATAAAAAGATATTTCCAAAGGACAAAACTCCACAAGATATAATTCTAGCTTTCCAGACTGTGGAGTAATAGCTCCAATGTTGAGCTGTTCCATTTAATTGGGAAATCACTGTTAAGTTGGCAGTCAGAGAAGGGAGAATGAGGAATAATTTTCTTTCCCATTTCTGTTATTAGGGAAAGAGAGAAAAGAGACCAGATGCCTCATACATTTGCTAAAATATTGAAGCAGATTTTGACTTTTCCAGATGCTTCGTACCAAAAAAGACAAAATCTCCCTCTGATTGTGATGGTCTCCTTAACTAAAAAGGCAAAGGAGCCACTCCAGGGTGGAAAAGACAGGAGAGATCTATAACCATTTGGTCTTGTCAGGTTTGAGCCAAAACTAAAGCTGATTCATTCCACATTCATACAACCTCCAGGCATCAGTAAAATGCTTTAGATGGCCCAGGGCAAATGTACAACTGAAGGTGATCAGAGGTTCCAAGGTTAACCCTGAGCTGACAGATAATGTCACCCAGCAGTTCATGTAGATCAGTGTTTCTCAACCTTGACAATTTTAAGGCATGTGGACTTCAACTCCCAGAATTCCACAACCAGCAATGCTGGCTGTGGAATTCTGGGAGTTGAAGTCCACACGCCTTAAAATTGTCAAGGTTGAGAAACACTGATGTAGATGTTAAATAGGAATGGAAAGACTCAGGTCCTGTGCCACACCACATCACAGAGAATTGGGGCTACATCTTTCTCACCTACCAGCACTTAGTGTAATCAGCCATGGAGGAAGCAAAAGACCCACTGAAGAACAATGCCTTCCATTCACAGCCCCTTCAAAACAAGCCAGCAGTATACCATGATTGATGGTATCAAAAACTTCTGAGAGCTCAAGGAGGATCAGGACTCATGCTCAGAATCTGATGGATAGTCACTTGGATCTTTCTGGAGTTGAGCTCCAGCAGTGCTGATTTTGAAATAACTATGGCACAGGCTTCTCCAGATTTCTAGGCAGAGTTCCATCCAATTACTCCCGAGAAAGTGGACGGGATTCTTGATATGTCCCCTCTGTGTTAAATCCATACCAGGTCTGGCTGGTTAGAACCCCCTCCCCCTCAGGATGTAACCTGTAGCTTGGTTCAAATGATAGGAAATGTCATGGCCCCATCGGAACCCAGTTCATAGGAGGAGTTGGAACTGGGACCGTCTGATGGGGAAGGCCTGTCCCCTTTGGAATGTTTGGAAACATTCAGGGGCTGAGGCCGATGCTATCCCAGGACCTTCGGGCATTGGGAGAAGTGGTCGACTGGACGGAGAGCTGCCTGTCCTCACAGACACGGGAGAGGATCAGATGTAGACAGGCAGTGGAGCTTAGAGGCAGCAAATCCTCTCTGATAAGGAACGGTTGCCTCCCCCCACTCCACCCAAGGGCACAGAAGCTCAAAGAAGGGCTGCAAGGCTGGAACATCTGGCAGGTGTTGACTTAAAGAGAAGCTTTGTAAAAACTCAGCCTTGACTCTTGTTTCTGCCTGTGGCTTTGCCTTGTGGACTTGCTCTGTGGAACTGCCTTGCCCTTTGGACCTTGACTCTGGATTTTTCCCTTTGAGCTTGCGTCTTCTCTTTGGATTTCCACTCTGCCTTTACAAATTGGTTTTGCTTGCTGACTAGCTCTTGTTTGAGGGACTGAGGGTGGCTGCCTTCGGGGGAAATGTGGGGTGGAGCCTTGCCCGCTGTTATAAGGTCATTTGTTGTGGCAGCTAACAGGGCAATAAAGGACTCCATCATTGCCTGCCTCTACCTAGGCGACCTGGGTCACAACATTCTTTTGTGCAACTTGGAACCTCTTTTCATCAGATTCTTGCTTTTCAGGATGATGAAAATTTATCAGGAAGGATCATGGCAGCCAGGGAATTGCTAGAAAATTGAAACGTAACCTTTATGATCTATTGATTTTATTGTAATTTCTTTGTTTTATTATTGTTGAGCACCTAGATTCATTGAGAGTCAAACAGTATACAAATTTAATACCTTATTGTTATCATTATATCAAGTAAAACTGGTGGCAGCAATAACTACAAACTAGTATGTGTACTTAGTACTTATTGTATGCTAAGTTAGGAAAAGTTAAAATGTATGTTCAGGGGTTTCTGAGAGAAGACAATCTTTCATTCTCTTGACCCAGACTTACTGCTATATGCCCAAACCTGAAATTCCATAATAGACAGATGTCCATAAAGATTAGAATGGAACATCTTGCTTGCAATGTATAGGTTACTTCCCCACCACTCAAACGGTGCTTTCTAAACATAGATATTGTCTGGTTTTGTGGCTCATTAGCTATTCTTGTGTTACTCTTGAACCATAATATTTTATTATGTTTCAAATAAAGTTAATGCATGAAAAAAATCAGTTGGTCCTAGAAAAGTACATTCTCCATGAATCTGAGAACAATACTTGTGCTAAAACAATCTGCTTTTTAGAAAAGTCAGAGGGATTCCTTAGTTTCATCATCTTTGTTATTTTTTTTATTCCAATGATTCAATTGCTTTATTTGTTTATAAGCCCCAAAATTTGTCCACATATTTTAGATTATCAGAATTCTGGGGGGGGGGGGGGAGAAAAAAACCTCTTCAGACTCTATGTCTTCTATATCCAGGATAGACTGATCTTATCCAATTTCTCATTGCCACTTAACTCCCTAGTCAATTGCTTATTTGTTGTTGTTGACCTTTGTTAAAATAAATTTTGCAATTTAGAGGGATCTGCTCCCCGAGAACTCCTTGAACAAAATTACCTAGCTAATATTCTATTAAGGCTCCAACTGAAATCTCAACTCCTTCCTCGCCCCCTTTTGTTTGCCCACCTGCTTCAGTATTCTTTGCTACTGCTGTCTCTTTCTGCCTTTACTTATATAGATAAGAGGGATTTATTTTTGCTTTGTTATAAACCCAGAAGTAAATTGTATTATGAAGGATTAAGGATTCTTATTTTGTGTGTTATATTTAACAGAGAAGCCATTAATTATAAACAGTTCCAACTCTTGACTCATTCTGCCCCCTTTTGAGCTGATGCTTAAAGACCCCTGCCTCTGAGACTTAATTGGTGCTCCAACTAATTTATTGTACACAGTCTGTCTAAACATACAATTGTAAACATACAATTATCACCCTAGGAAATAAGATGATTGAACTTGCATGCTAATGTAATATTTTCTTGTTTTGTTGCTTTGCTGATTTTTCTCCACATTTCAGAATTGCTGTCATTTTTTGAGCCTTGAACTGCTACCAAGAGTCATAATTTAGAACGCATATTAAATTTGCAAATAACTGTTTAAAATACCAGCATTTCATATGTGACATTACTAGCAACATTTTTCTTCCGAGAGTATTTCATAATTATGTGTTACTAAAGGTTCCTTCTAGCCTGTGTATAAATTTGATTTCTCCCCCCGCCTCTTTTGGCAGGCATGTTAGACTTGGCAAGCTTCTATAGAGACAACTGACTAAAGAAGCTTTGCCAGGAAACAATTAAGCAGGGCATTTCTGAAGAGAATGCAATTGCTCTTCTATCAACTGCAGTTAAGTATGAAGCAAAGGTATGGAAAATGTTCTTTATTGAGTTGCTACCGACTGGGGATTCTTGTTCTACAAGCTAGAGAACCAGAAATGATCTGAGAAATTGGTGATTAAAACTGAGTTATGAGCTTGAATTTGCCTGTGCAATTAACATATTGGGTAGTGTTAGTCAAGGAATACTAATAGTCACTGTTGGAATACTACACCTGGTCTATCTTATGAGAACTGGTAAGAATTAGAAGCAGTTCTTGTATGGGAGGCACTTTAAAGAAGTGAAACCATTGTGCAAATGCTAAGAATTTGCTGTCAGTAATCAGTTTTTGTAATTTTCAAGATATCAGGACAATTTCATAACTTATTGGGAAAGATATATTTGGCTGCATGAAACATCTAGAGCCTGGCTTTTCAACCGGTGGTACACGTACCACCAGTGGTACTTTGGCACCTGGCAGATGGTACGCGACTGTCCTAGACTGTCCTAGTGGTAGCAGGATGGAGAGGAATGAGCTTGAAGCGGCGACAGTGCCACACAAACCTGAGGGAGAGACAGCTAAAGCTGCAGGGTTGTCGGGGCTCGGCAGAAGTGCCAGGATCAGTGCCAGGCTCCAGCTGATCGGCGCTTTCGGAAGGTGGAAGTGCGCTGAAGAGGAGGTGGAGGGATGAGAGAGGATATTAAAGGAGGTGGGGTTTTGGCAGGAAAGGGCCAGCAACGGGCTGCCCCCGCCCCGCTCCCTGGGCACGTAAAGAGGCGGCAACCACCCAGCATCCCTGCTGAGTGTCTCTGCTGACCACCGAGGAAGAAAAAAGGTAAGTGAAGCACTTCCCTTTCCCCCAGGACGCTAGCGCTCATGTGCTCACTGCCTTTTCCATGCACCCCCAGGGGTCTGGGCAGAGATTGGGAGGGCCCTCGCTGGCTCTAGGACTGCCCCACGGATCTAAGGCTGAGCGCATTCTGGCTTTGATGGCCCCCACGCCCACTCGCTGACTTAACCTCGCAGCCACCAGGCTTTCCTTTCACCTGGACCGCCCCTGCCTGCGTGGGATAGCTACGGCTGGTGACCGCATGACCACCGGCAGTACTGTCAATCTCTCCCCCTCCCATCATCCCTTCCTGAGCGCAGAGGAAGGAAAGAGAAGCAGGGGAGGAAGGAAGGAAGGAGGGGAGGAAGGAAGGAAAGAAGGGAGCAGCCTGGTAAAAGGACTGCCTTCTGAGCACTTCTCGGGAGGTTTTTTTTAGCTGCCAGAGGCTCCAGACAGGAGGGTTCCCATTTTGAACCTTTCCTGATCGTTGCCTGAAGGGCCTCTGCATGGCTATCAGCTCACTCTTCCAGACCTGTGCTCATGTTTGTGTGCGTGCACTCCTTGCAGCCCCACGCTGTGACATTGGGGAGAGATAACAGAAGCTGCAATGGGAGCTTCTTACAGCCTTCCACAGGGCTGGGGGTGGGAGTTGAGGGGGGCAGGACGCAGGATGCGATGCAATCGGTGGTATGTTGAGAGAAAGAAACAAGTACTCCAAAAAAACAGCTTTCGTTAGTTTGCAGCCTGCCATTGCAGAAGGTCTCTGTTGAGGGCCTGGGGCTGCAAGGGGTGAGACCCTGCCCACCTACGCGCGCACATGCACACACACACACACACAGACACAAACGTGCCATTGCAGAAGGTCTCTGTTGAGGGCCTGGGGCTGCAAGGGGTGAGACCCTGCCCACCTACGCGCGCACATGCGCACACACACACACACACAGACACAAATGTGCGTCGGTCTGGGAGAGGTGAGCTGAGAGCAACACAAAGGCAACAAAGGGGAGGGGTCAAAATGTGAAGCCTCTGTCCACTGCTGCCTGCCTGTTGCCACCTCTGCCTGGAGCCTCTGACAGTTTTAAAAAATAAAGCAGGGAAAGGAAGGAAGGAAGGGGCAATTCGGTTGGAAATGCCCCAGTTCAAAGGAGAAAGCAATTTTGTGTTCTCTTTTGTCACAAACAGAATTTTGTTGGCAATCCAAGTTAACACTGGTATTCTTGAATTGTGAGCTCTTAGGAAAGTATCCCATCCTTATATGTTGCCAACAGCCATTTCCAGTAGGGAAAACAGAACACAGCAGAGGGGGGAAAAATATTTTCCTTTGCTCTATTTCCAGTCTGAATTAGACCAAGGCAGGCCCTACAGGAGAGCCCTTTTAAGGATTGTGTATTAATAGAAAAGCAGCTAGGCTGCCTCTGTTCCTAAACGGCTAAAGCTGTTGCACATAAAAAATAGAGGAGCTCTATCAACTATCACGGCCATCATTTTGACAGTTTTGTTGTACTGTTAGTGTGGACGCCCCCACTAAATGCAAGCGTAGGATAAACTGAGCCTGGTTTCTCTCAATCTTTTAAGTGGCCACAAACTACTAGCAGTTTGGGCACGTGGTCTCTAAAAGGTTCGCCACCACTGGCTTAAGATTTCACTTTCCTTTCTCCAAGAGTGGTTTCAAGGAGTTATGGAAACATTGCAGTTGAATGATAGGATAAAATATAAAGATATTAAATTGCTGTTTATCTTAGATCTCTGGATTTAGTTAGGGTATGACCTAACTACATTTAAGGGAGATATGAAAAACTGTAGAGTGGGGGAGGAGCAAAGACAAAGGGGTGTAAATTAGAGTTTAGGAAAATAGCTTAATTGAAAGTCTATTGGGTTGTTTCATTGTGATGTAAAAATAAGAATCTGCTCTTCAGCGATTGGGAGGGCAGGGATACAGGAGGAAATTATGATTTTGGTATTTATTTTTTATTATTATTTTTTACTTATTTCAAATTTTGTAGGATTGTTGAAATAGGTTTAAGGGTTTTTTTATATGAACATTACTCTCACTCTACTTAATTTTCTTCCCCCTCAGAGGAAAGTTTTCATGAGTGGGAAATTGGCATTTCAGTTAGCTACGATATGCAACAAGATTTTTAATGAGTGGAATGGATTGTGGTGGCTGTTTTTCTGTTCCCAGAAAAGAAATCCCAGATTTCTTTTCCCATTTTAGGGTCATCTTTTTTTCAGCCCTGGTCTGCCTCCTGTAGTGATAATGTGGAACAATATCACACATTAGTAGTGTGCATTAATATGTAAACACTCCATTTCTAGGAGTTAGAGGAATTTTGCTTCCAGTTTTGCATCAACCACCTGACTGTCGTTACTCAGCCTCCAGGTTTTGCAGAAATGGATCATGACCTCATGAAGAACTTCGTAAGCAAAGCCAGTCGAGTTGGAGCATTTAAAAACTGAAGTAACACTCTTGCCTAATAATGAAGAAAGATAGTTTCAATACCATTACTTGTATTTCTGATGTCATAATAATTTTCTCATAAGCCTAATTTAAAAAGAGCATTATGCATTCTGGCTCCCTATTGTGACAACTGATCTTAGAAATTAAGGAAAAACCAAATTAACAGCTTTCAATAAAAGCTAAGTAAGTAATTAAATTTTGATACAACTAAACTACTTTAAATATATAGGAATAATCTTCCATGCTTCAGGAAAAACCTGTCCACAGATGTCATATCTGCAGACAGTTGTTACAGTATCTTGCAATATGAAAGCAACAGTCTTTCTTACCAATAACGAGAAATATGAGCTTTGGAAAATTAGGAGGGAGGGGGAAGTGAAATTTTGGTAGTGAAAGTGCTGTTAGAAATGGGTCTCCAGCCCACCAAAGCTCAAACTTCTGGAACCCCGCAGCAATTATGAAAGCATTTATTGGAGATTTAATAAATTAAAACTATGCTATGTAGTTTTCTGTCATGCCTTCCCTAAAGCCAGCTTACATATCTACTAGAAATTTCTCCTTTCCCAGCCAAACCAATCTTACAAAAAAGAAAGTGTCCATATAGTTTACTGGAATGCTTAGACAGATAACTGGCTGGTTCATACAGTTGCCTTACTTAAGGTATTTGGGATGCATTACTGATACGTGAATGAAGAACCAGATAGTGAACTCAACAATCAATATTATTTTTAACAATTGGGCAGGCATTGGGTCATTGTTAGAGGCTTTCCTAGTTTTAATTGATTAATAAGCTTAACAATTTCCAAACTGGGATGGTGGCCAGGAGGTTGGGGCAATAGGCTTATAGAGGAAAAATCATGTCTTGCTGTAAAATTGTTCACCTCTCTTGGGCAGAATCTTTTTTCTGGCCAGACCATCCCACAATTGGTAAGGTTAGCAGTTATCTTCTAAAAGACAGCGACATTGGTATCCTTCGCAAAGTGAAAAATACCCCAGTTCATTGATACAAATATTTATTTCTATTAAGAGGTTTTTTACAGTTTAAGAGCAAGTAACAAATTCTAATAGTGGAACAATTGCTGGATATGTAACATTGAAAGCTATAGCTAAATCTGCCTTGACTTTTATATAGTGCTGGTCAAACCTCCAGGGACTCTGCTTGAGGTGTGAGGTTTTGCTCATGAGATAGTGAAGAGTCAGTGGTGAAGACTGTATACAGAATGGCTAGAGCTTCTAAGGATTTAAGTTCTCAAACAGGAGCTTGTGAAGCTCAAGGGGCATGCCTGAGGCAAGAAATAAAAGTCTTGCTGTTGTATTTCCAAACAATCTAATTCTGGAGCAGCTAAAGATACATCATTGTCCCTAGTCTGGATAGAACAATTCAACTGTGTATGGGATAAAGTAATAGTGGGTCATTATTTGGCCACAACCCAAACTTTCAATGAAATAACCTGATTAAAAAAATCCTATTAAGACTATAAGAATGGAGATGATTCTACACATTCCTGTTCTTTTATGATCTTTCTGAAATTTTAAATGAAAATATGAATATATATGCGTTTCTTCATGATATTTTATTGCAAATAAATTCTGATAAAGAGCAAAATAATCATTTGTGGGAAAATTTGTTTACACTAACACAGTCAAAACAATGAGCAGCCTAGATACTGATCTAAAATCTGAAATATAGAAGGTTTTGAATCTGAGGTTAAATAATATATTTAATAAGGTAACATTAAAGTGCTTATTTTCTTATACTTTCTTTCACTTACTGGGAAAGCATACATTCATACGATGTGGAGAATGTGGATTTATTCTGTCAGCCAATTTTCCAGTTTTAAGTTCACTGTATGAAATATATCTGAAAGTTTAATTGCAATTTCATGTTTACTGAATTATAGCTAGCAAGCCAATAAACTAAATTATATCAGGATAAAAGATGTTAAATATAATTTTCATTGTATATTATTAATGATTCTCATTCTCATTCTTATTTTTAAAATTATTTTATTAATCTTTAATGTTTATTAGAATACAGAATATTTCTATGCTCAATTTGTCAAAATACATAGTTATGATAGTTTAGGTTAGCCAACTCTTAATAGTTACTGCTAATAAAATTTCAGAACTTTATTTTCATAGTCTACATTGAGTTTTGCAATCTGACTACTGACTATTACTACTAAAACTAACAGACTAAAGAATGACAGCTACAGAATTGCACTTCTCTGATCATGAGACAGATAAGAGTGTGCACCGTGTAGGTGTTTTGTTGCACAGTCATTGTGGTTTGCTGAAATAATAAAATTCAATCAGGCTGCCAAATTTTCTAATTTGTGTATGAGTTTTAAAATGGAAAAAAAGACAAAATTGTTAGCAAGGTATATGATTTAATAGAGATATCTAATGTTTTGGATCTAGACACCATACTTAAGTGCACTCTCCAGGAAAGTGGGGGGTATCCAGAACTAGTGACTATACCTCACAGTCCAATTGTATAAATTATTGTAGAACTCTGTCCTGCAGGCAGTTCTCTGATATAGTATTGAGTGTTTCTTGGAGGGGGACCTCAAATATATAAATAGTGCATCAAATCTAACATTAAAATGACAATTCTTAACAAAATACTAGTGCATTCTGTAATATTGAACATCGAATATCTAAAAGTAGTTCAATAAAAACTGAAAGGGTAATATAATTCAATAAGGATGCACTAGGAAATCAGTTTTACTTAAAACTAATACATATAAATTAACACTTAAATGGATAATACATATGCTATATTATAGCATAAAACACCGAAAAACATGAAATTCAACTAAATTAAATTAGCTATGCAATATAGGCAAAACAATGTAGTAGAAATCAAAGCTACGGTGCAGATTCTGGATCTCAAGAGCAGTTCACTTCTGTACGGTGTCTGAAGCGTCAGCACCGTCATTCAGTTTCTGGTTTTGTATTCTAGTCCGAGTAGATGCTATAGAAACAAAAACAGTACTGCCTTTTAGTAAATAAACCGAAGACATGTCAGCAGCTAATCTCGGATCTGTGAATTAAAAACAATCCTCATGAAATACAGGCCCCTAGCTTTTCATTAGATCTTGGGGGACTTTGATATTGTTCTTTCAGCAGATTACAATAATGTAAAATTAAAGCAAAATAGCTTTTTAAACTATTTCAAACATGAAATCTCATAAATATTACTGGCTGATCTTTGATTTAAATGTAGCAGTTAGGGATTCATAAAATTGTTCATGCATGAACTGAAAGGTGGCCAAGATAAAATGGGGTTCTTCTCTTTTGGACACAGACCAAAATAGAGATGATTGGGGGTGGGAGAACAGTATGGGAAAACCACGGTTGAGGGATTTCCCGGGGAAGAGGAAAAGTAAAGGTGCTGGGAAGCTAAAGGGCAGACCAGATGATATTAAAGGTTGATTAGAATCCAAATGGTAATTAGCTGCACAGAGACTCCTTTTGCATGAGGCATTTAAATAGTGACTAGCTGACCTTGTTGGATTATATAGCACATTGTTTTACTTGCTTGGGAACCACTATCCCCAAAGCCCAGTAAACACATGGCACTAGTGAGGAACTTGCCCATTGTTTATAAGACCACCTCAACTGTCCCCTATAATAATTTATAATTATTCTCATGCTGTACAAAACTTACTCATTTCTGCAAGCTTTTGTTGGAATTTTGACTCTCCAGAAAGATGTTCCCTGTAGATAGAAGGAGGGGAGATAAATTCTACATTTTATACAGTTCAAAGTGTGTTGCACATAACTTGTGACTCCAAACCAGGGGCAGGCAATTAATTTTATCAAAGGGCTACATGAGTTTGTGGAATTGTTATGGAAGGCTGTTGCCCCACCACCATTCCCGCCCCACCACCACTGTGGACCAGACTGGGACCATCTGCAGACCGGATGTGCCTGTGGGCCATAAAATGCCCAGGTCTATTCTAGACACCTCTAGTCAGCAAATGGCAATTCACATTGGAATACCTACAGTAACCAAATGGAATAATTCTTCTTCAAATGCAGATCTGCTATATGTAGAAAATTTGAATGAATAAAAAAAATGTTATCTTGTTCTGCTTGGGGAACATGCCTTCCCTATGCAAGACTGTACTTTCATTTTTATATAATCCTGACTGTAAAACGTAAAATTCAAATTTCATTTTTGTTCAAAAATAAACACAGAATTTCAGTTTCATCACAACAGCGCTATTTCAGATATTCTCTGCCAACATTAACTGATATAACTAAAGTAGATCTAACACTATGTCTAACTAAGTTACTATTATTACTAAGTTGCTAAGAGCAACATTTTTGAAGTCAGGAACCAGCAAACAAAAAGTGGTATATGTAAATGCAGAAAACAATTCAAGAACTAGTCTGTAGAGCTGGAAAGTTCTCTGTTTTGAGGTTAAGAAAACCACCAAAGCCCAGCAGGCAGAACCACCGGGGAGGGGAGGGTGAAACGGTTAAGAGAGATATCCGTTTAACAGTCTTCAATTTCCATTTTTAGCTTCTTTCTGCATACTGTTTTTACTAAAAATAAAATTTGAAGAAATCACAAGGAAACAATTTAGGGACCAGCTAGAAAAAAGGGGATGCCCACTGAATTGGGCAGCATATCATCTATAGCAGGCATGTCCAAGCCACGGGCCACATGCAGCCCTGGACAGCTAGTAATATGGCCCAAGATTTTATAAAAAATATTTTAAAATAAAGCAAATTTGTTACTTATATACATACAAAAGAAAACCAAGGTAGTACCAATAGTAATATGTCCCTTTGTGCAATCCCAAGACAACTGGAGCACCACCTGAACACCATCAGTATTGACAAACTCACCATCAATCAATTGGAAAAGGCAGCTTTACTCAAACAGCTGATGATACCTCTAACACCATGAAACATCAACATCTTCCTATCCCAGGCTGCTGGGAAAGACTCAATAGTAGATAAAAATGCCAAATCCAGTCTGAACATTTGGCTGACTGTGCAATGAACCATTTATACGGGGCCCAGGACAATTCCCCTTTACTCAGTGAAGCCCAGGAAAGCCAAATGTTGGACATACTTGGTCTATAGCAACACTATGCTAGTGGTATAAATTACATTATTTATACCCCTCTGATATCAATATACAAATAGAATAAATGATGCCAATAACACAGGGAAATTTGTCCACTGCATCCAAGCAGACTAACCTGAGGTTTTTCTGTATAAATATATAACAAATATCCAATGTCCATTTTCTACATCATGTCAACCTAAATGTGTCAACCCAGTTGAAATCAATCCTGGGGATGTCACATTGCTTAGTACAAAGATGTGTGGGACAAAATTTGCCTGTCCTCATGCTTGGGTGTGCCAAAAGACAGACTTCAGGTAGGCTAGGACAAATAGCATTAACTAATAAAATAACCCATTTATAAAATCAAAAGATTCCCCCATTTACATATCCCGACCATTCTCTTAAATACAAATCATTGCAATACAATGAAATGCAGAGATATACAGGTGCATTGCCTTTTGTCCTTCCATCATAAATAGCAAAAAAAAAAAAAAAAAAAAAAAAGAGTGAAAGGAAATTGAACGGAGAAGGAATCAATTCTGAATGAAAAACTAAAGTTGATTATATTTAGTTCACATGTAAATTTAATGAAAATTTAATTAAATTAAAATGCCTTTTTTTACCCCAATCTCATTAAAAGTTACAATTATACATTTCTGCCGTAAACTGGATAACAGAGATGGGTTTCCACATACTAAGCCGAAACTCTACGTGAATGAACCAAGATACTGAGTTGGGGCCACTAATTCAGACTTGCATTATTTTATTCAGAAATCAGCTCACCTTCCATCAGCTTCATCCTGACCTTCAATATCAAAACGCAATCTCTTCAAAGGCTTAGGAGGGGTGCTTAGTTCAGCGCTCCGTTTGAGATGACGATCACTGTTACATACCATCTTGTTTATCTTTTGAAACTTTTCAGAACTCTAGAAATAAAGGAAGATAAATTAAAAAGATAATTTGTTTTTACATATGGTTGGATAAGTATTAGGTGCAATTCCTTTAAGAGAAAATATGAAGGGGCCTTTAAAACAAACTGATAGCATATTCCAAGCCTCTACGCATGCTGTTGTTCAGAATGTCAAGCAACCGAGAGTAATAGCTTTATAATTTTTTGGGGTGTCCCTGGCAGAAAGAAGGAATTAATTTCAATCAATAGGTGGAACAACTTGCCTCCAGAAGTTGTGGGTGCTCCAACACTCAAGGTTTTTAAGAGATTGGACCACCATTTGTCTGAAATGGTATAGGGTTTCCTGCTTGAGCAGGAAGTTGAAGACCTCCAAGGTCTTCCTCCTGGCCCAAACAAATCTTGCTCTGCTCTGTTGTGTTAGCACTACAGTAGTGGCCAAAATTGTGGAAATCTTTTGGGAAAAGTGTACAGTAGAAATGCCACCTTTGGTTAAGTTTCCACCAATTTTTCTTCTAATTTCTTTATAACTGTAGCCTTGTTCACTTAATAATACTATTTTACATTGCTTTCTGGGCAACTAGTCAACTCTTGCACCATTACTTTAATTTTATTACGTTTTACAAGTTCACTAAATGAAAGAGAAAAAAACCGCAACCAACTTGATAGCAATCACATAACACACTGACAAATGTCCTCCTCTCAGCTTCAATACGTGACTTCAATAACTGAATCCTACTGTGATCTGGCTGGCTCATTGCCAAAACAAGATGACATCTGATTGGCTCTCTAAACATTCATGCTCATTGACTACAATCAGATGAAGGAAAGCTATGTGATATCAACCTAAGCAAGTTGTGCTTCCTTTTTCTGGTTATTTGGCTATAACTTTTCATAGAATACAGTACAGATAATTGAACAAACCTTATTGCATTACATTCTTAATTAAATCTTTCCATTGATATATAATTTTATGGTATTACTCCATTGTTAGCCATCAAACCTCAAAAATATACTTTCCCCAAAAGATTTCCACAATTTTGGCCACTACTGTAGAAAGCTGAAGCTTGGCATTGATTTCCCCAAAAAGGGCTCTTTCTGGCTGTATCTTGGAAGCGGGTTGGGAGCTGCTGGGCTTAAAGAAATGGCATTTTTTTTTATTTCTTTCTGGACAATCACTGAAGATCACATAATATATATATATGCATGTGCATGAGGGTGTATGCATGGTCTTTTTCTGTTTGGATCAAGGAGCAGATAACAAGAAAAGCAAATGTTATATCTGTCTCAAAATGGGGGGGGGGGGAGAGAGAAAGATCCAGAATCCTAAAGTCTGGCCAGTCTGCTACTGAAACCAGGGAAGATTCTAGGATGGAGTATAATGTGATTGATCTCTAAGCATCCAAAAACAACGGAGAAATTAAAAGAAACCAGGATGGTGCTTTTAAGATTGTACAAATTAATGATGTATCCTGTTTTGAACAGATAATTCTGTTAAGAGATTTGGGAAATGTAGATGCATCTTGATTTCAATAAAAGATTTGACAAAGCACCCCATTCCATTCTGATTATCACACTTGTTCAATGTTGGCAATTAAATGGAAACCTAAAATCTTGATAATCTCTGAATCATAATTCAAAGTTTTATCAATGGATGTTGTAATGCAACAACCACAAATGCAACCCAAAATATGGATCAGATATGATACCTTCACCATAATGGAAAAGGATCAATTAGAGAATACCCACAAAACCATCAACATCTTCAAAGGAATCCAATTCATCAGGGAAAAAGGAAACAGCAACTCACTATCCTTCCTAGATATCCTGACCAACAGAGATTATGATGGTGAATTAGAAACACAAGTTACCGAAAAACCAATCAAGTGCTCGCTACCAAAGTAATAACCCAACTTCCCACAAGAGAAACTGTGTAAAAATATTCAGACAATCATAAATACATTGCAGCAATCCTGAACAGCAGAAAAAGGAAACAGATCATCTGCACATCTTCCAACAAAATGGATATCCCTACAATTTCATCATAAAGTGCCTCACCACTCATATAGCACAGGGGTGTCAAACTCAATTTCATTGAGGGCCGCATCAGCATTGTGGTTGCCCTCAGGGGGCTGGGTAGGTGTGGCTAGCATGGGCGTGGCCTACTGAGTGGGCACAGCCAGCTCAACATCACTCGCTTCAGGGGCGCCTGTGCAGGCCTGGGACAGATCCAAGGGTCTCCGGTAGAGGAGGGTGGGGCCGGGGTGAGTGCCGGGACATGGTCCACTGGAGGAGCTTTGTCTCTCTGAGGCCGTGGGGGGGAGGGGCGGACGGTGGCATGGCCACCCCAGAGTCTTGGGCAGCAGCCCATGAGTTCAGGGACTCCGCAGCCCAGCCTAGCCTAGCCCTACTTCCCCAAGGGGGTGCCCAGCTGTGCTTACCTTCTCCTTGAGGCTGCTGCTGCTGTGCTCGCTCTCCTTGGCCAAGCTGCTCATAGTGTTACGGGAGAGCAAAATGTGTGGGTCAGAGGGAGGCGAGGAGATCCGGCTTTGTAACCAAAGCATCCTCAGTGATAGGATGGGAGACCACCAGGAGAGGTCAGGAAGAGGGGACAAGGGGATGGTGAAAGAGCAGCAGGGCTGTTCGTGGCCAAGTGCTAAGGCAGGACTTCCCCCAGACCCTTTCTCCCTCTTATTATAATTATTTTCCTTCCTTCCTTTCTTTTCCCCCTTTCTTCTTTTTCCTTCCCTCTTCATTCTCCTTTCCTTCTTCCTTCCCCTCTTTCCTTCTTTTTGTTTGTCTTTCCTCTTTCCCTTTCTCCTTTCCTGTTCCTTTGCCTTCTCATCTCTTTCCTTCCTCCGCGCTCAGGAAGGGGTGATGGGAGGGGGAGAGATTGCCCACGTGGGCGTGCGGGAGCTGTCCCGGTGAAAGAAAAGCGAGGCTGGAGGTGCTGGTAGGAGGGGTGGTGGCACTGATCTACAACCTGGTTGCGTCCATCAAAGCCAGAATGCGCTCCACAGGGCAGCCCTACCCAGCCTCCTGGGCACATGTGCATGCAAGCAGAGTCCAGCGTCCCTGCTGGCTGTCTTGCCCCGCAGGCTTACTTCACCCAGGAGACCGGCACTGGACATCTCCTGTGCGCACACCCGGGAGGCAGGACAGAGGCGGCGGGGCAGCTCCCTGCTGATTCCAGGGCTGCTCCGTGGAACCTTCGTTCCTTTCTTCCTTCTCTCCTTCGCATCCCTTTACTTCCTCTGCACTCAGGAAGGGGTAATGGGAAAGAGAGGGAGAGATTGCCAGCGCTGCCATGCTGCCCAGTCCATCAAAGCCAAAATGCGCTCAGCCTTAGCCCTGGAACCAGCAAGGGGCTGCCCTGCCGCCTCTGTCCTGCCCCCCCCCCGGTGTGAGCACAGGAGATGGCCAGTGCCGGCGTCCTGGGTGAAGTCAGCCTGCGGGGCAAGACAGCCAGCAGAGACGCTGGACTCCACTTGCCCATGCGCCCAAGAGATAGAGCGGGGCTACCCCATGGAGCGCATTCTGGCTTTGATGACACAGCCAGGTTGTAGATCAGCACGGACCCCCTCTCACCAGCATCTCCAGCCTCGCAGCCATGAGGCTTTTCTTTCACCGGGACAGCCCCCGCTCGCCCACGTGGGATAGCAAGACCAATGGCAACATGGCACCACTGGCAATCTCTCCCCCTCCCATCATCCCTTCCTGAGCGCAGAGGAAGGAAAGAGAAGAGAAGGAAGGAAGAAAGGAACAGAGGTTCCACGGAGCAGCCCTGGAATCAGCAAGGAGCTACCCACCGCCTCTGCCCTGCCCCCAGATGTGCGCAAAGGAGACAACCAGCACCGGCATCCTGGGTGAAGTCAGCCTGCAGGGCAAGACAGCCAGCAGGGATGCTGGACTTTGCGCACGCGCCCAAGGGGCAGAGCGGGGCTGCCCCGTGGATCTAAGGCTCAGCACATTCTGGCTTTGATGGACACAACCAGGTTGTAGATCAGTGCCCGAGATGCAGCGGGCCAGTCCTTCGCTGTTTCAAGAGCAGGTCCCTGGGCCGGATGGAATCACATATCGAGCCGGACCCGGCTTGCGGACCTTGTGTTTGACATGTCTGATATAGCACAACTAACACAAGCCATAAAAAGATGAACATTGCCATATATCAAAAACATCTCAGAAACCATCAATACAACTATTTTCCACAACTATGTGGAAAGTATGGCACACAACTAAGCCCTCTAAAACAGTGGTTCTCAACCTTTTTAATGCTGCGACCCCCAACCGGTCGTAAGTTGAGGACTACTCAACCGGTCGTAAGTCGAGGATTACTCAACTGGTGCAGCACCGTTTGCAGAATCTGACTTTTGGCAGGCTCAGCAGGGCAGAGACAGCCTGGACAATTCCTATTGGCTTTTGAAAGCCAATAGAATTAGACTCTATTCAAGAGAGTCTATTCTATTGGCTTTCAAAAGCCAATAGAATAAAAGGGAATAGCACAGCTAAGGAAAGGGGGGAAAAAAATGGCGGACTGCGTTGTTTGGCGACCCCCGTGAAATGGTCATTTGACCCCAAATGGGGTCCCGACCCACAGGTTGAGAACCACTGCTCTAAAACAACCTAAGTAAACAAAAGATCCAGCAGCTGCAGAAGAAAAAACAGAAGTCATTTATAACATACAGCAGTGGTCCATCTTTGCGACTTGGCAGCCTGGCTTGGGGGGGGGGGAGAGGGGAACCAGGCCGTGGGAGTGGCAGGCCAGCATGCAGGGATGCACACACAACTCAGTTTGTGCAAGCAGCGGGCCAGTGCACAGGCGCATGCACACAGCTCGACTGCAAATTGAGCTGCACGTGCATGCACATATCCACCGGCCCACCGCTCAAATGAGTTGAGCTGCATGTATGGATAGCCTCTCGTGCAGCCTGGTTCTGAATAGGCTATAGTCTGGTAGTGGCCCGGGGGCTGGAGACCCCTGACATAGAGTGTAAAGATTACAATAGCCACTATGTAGGACAGACAGGAAGAGCCTAGCAGAACAGAACTATGAACACCAACTAGCACTCAGAAGACATGATGGAAACTCTTAAATTTCACAACATATGAACAGACTTAACCATGGTTTCAATGGTAAACTGTGACCATCCTAGACCAAGTCAAATGCAAAAAACACTGGATAATTCCTGAAAAACTGGCCATCAATAGACACATAGACATAAACAACATCTACATATCATGCAAAAGAGACAATCAACAAGCCAAAAAGGGAATGAAAACAACCAAAGCATCCTCAACAGCAATCAACACCAAAATGAGCATAGATTAACACCAAGATTAACATCAGACCAACAATCAAAAGTATAGAATACCCCATTCCAGAAACTGCCAAACAAGCTAATAGTAAACAGCCCAACCAAAGAACCTCCAAAACACTTGACAGGACAAGCCACAAGAATACAAACTGAGAGTAAACCCCATTCCTCACTAGTACTGATGTTACCTAGTTTGGGTAATGAACGAAAGCAACCAAGCTCAGAGAACATCAAGAACCCTTCATTTCAATGCTGAACTACAAATATTCTCCTTTACTGACATGCACTTTGATGCCCACAAAATATTTTGGGTGCAATTCCTATGGAAGTGAACTGACATTGCTAATGTGGGAAGTTGTCATCCCTCTGAAGTAAGCAAGATGAAGAAACGGAAGCAGCAGGGATTCCAGGAATGCCCTTTACTGTTGCAGTGTAGGATAACCACAACCTGGAAAGTCTGCCAAGGGGTTCTCTTTGCCTTATTTCATATTAAAATAAAACCCGAGACAGTATTATCTTGTGTTTCTTTCTCATCCTTTCCACATTCTCAGGACAATTTCTATTTTCCCTTCCCCAAAGCCAGATCTACAATCTTTTGGAGAACCATTACCAATGGTTCTGTGTGAACCAGTGGTGGGATTCAAATATGTGAACCGGTTCTCTGTGTGGATGCTGCTTCTGGAAGTCGATTCTGGGCCTGGGCAACAAAAAATTAGCTACCGGTTCTGCTGAACTGGTGCAAACTGGCTGAATCTCACCACTGGTGTGAACTCTTTTCCTACTATCTGTTTGTTCCTTACTAATAGGTGGAAATAAAACATATCTGGTAATTTTGGAACAGAAAAGCAGCCAAGATAAAACCTAGTATCATGGCCCCATCGGAGTCCAGTTCGGAGGAGAAGTTGGAACCGGGAGCATCTGATGGGGAAGGTCTGTCTCCTTTGGAATGTTTGGATACATTCAGGGGCTGAGGACGATGCTGTCCCAGGACCCTCAGGCATGGGGGGGGGTGTCAACTGGACGGAGAGCTGCCTGTCCTCACAGACATAGGGGAGGATTGGATGCAGACAGGCAGTGGAGCTGAGAGGCAGCAAATCCTTTCTGATGAGGAACAGCTGCCCCCCCCCCTTACTCGACCCAAGGTACGGAGAGAAGAGTATAGGCAACCTCAGAGAAGGACTGCAAGGCTAGTCAGGAGAAGCTCTCCCCACCCTTCCTCACAAGGAACACGTGGAGTATATTGACTTAAGGAGAAGCTGTGGGAAGTTAGCTTTGCCAGGAACAATTCTTTATTTTGGTTTACACACACACACCCCGGCCTTGACTCATGCTTTTTGCCTTGCCTTGCCTTGAAGACTGCCTTATGCCTTTTGCCTTGTCTTTCGAACTGTCTTTTGTCTCATGCCTTGATTTTGCCTTGTGAACTACAGTTTGCCTTGTGGACTCAATTAGCCAAGTGGACTGGACTTGGGACCCTGGACCTCACCCTGTCAGCGTGCTCCTACTCTGTGGACTTTCTTTGTTATATATGGGCTGTTGTTTGGGGGTGGCTACCTTCAGGTTAGCGTGGGATGGAGCCTTACCAGTCATCAGAGGGCTGTTTGTTGGAACATTTACTCAGGGCAATACAGGACTCTCTAGAAGCCTGCCTTATCTTGAGCACCTGGATGATAACACCTCGAGCCTTGTTTTTTTCTTCCAGTGTCAACTATGACTTCAGTTACTTTACATCAGAAAATATTAGGAGAAACATAAAATCTCAGTTGTATGGAAAGCAAACCTCAATACGTTTTTTTTAATTTAAATAATTACTCAGAACAGGAAACTTACCCCAAAGGATTCACCAATTGAAACCAATATTCTGAAGACAAAGATAAAAAAAAATCATTTAATCTTTTTTCTAGAAAAGAAGTTTGAGACTACACACAAGACATAGACATAAAAGCTATATTAATATAAAGCAGTTTATACAATATTGTCCAGTTGTATTATTATATAAATACTACTATCTATTTATTAATTTCCAATGCCACAATAGGACCCATTTTATGAAGACAGAAAAGGCAAAAAAGAAATATTTTAAAAATATTCTAAATTATTCTAAAAATATTCCAAAAAGCCCATCCAGAAATTATTCAAACATTTCCCTGGATAAATTAAGCTGGATTTGGTGTTTGCCTCCCTTTTTGGAGATTCATAAAGCTAAACTTTGAGTTTTATTGATCCAAAAAAATTTAGAATGAATCATGATGAACAATACCTTAAAGTATTTTTCAGCTTCAGATAGAACAGATGGTTTCTCTGACAATAAATCTAAAATAATTCTACATACCCAATTCATATTCATAAAGTATGCCCTTTAGAAATATCTCTATCTAAGATGTTTTTTCTTTCTAATAATAATCAGAAAAACACATGGACATTCTGTGAAACAGTCTTCTCATTCACGTTTTGCCACACATGTATCGGTAGTTTCTAGGGTAGTGTTCAGGCCTCCACCAAATTTTACTAGAAGGAGACTTCGTGAATGTCCATCAATTTAAAGATCCTTTAAAATAAGCTTCCCTGGTCAGTCAGTGTGCTTATCTGCCAGAATGCCCTAAAACCTGTCCAGAAGCAGCCAGCTTAAACTGGGCGGGAAGTGCTTGCTCATTTACACAACTTGTGCTTCTGTGTGTGCCTACAGAGAGGGGAAGGGCAGATTCCCTTTCAAACAACAGTTCCATCTCCTTTGCTCCATCTCTTGCCCTAAAGTTTCTCTAGCCCTTGTCCATATTAGTGTTAGGACAGAGCAGCTCTGTTTTTAGTTTCTTTGGGGCAGGCACTCTTTCAGCCCAGTGTTAATGTGTTTCTGTAAGCACCATTTTTCACTGCTCTCAGATTTTGATTTTTTTAGCATATTTCCAGAAAAATCTTTTATTTTATAATAAAATAATATGGGTAGAAACAGCAGCAAAACAAGGAAACTAGATCCCCAACTGATTAAGAAAAGGGCGCTGCTGCTCACATCAGCAATTGAGACCAGCTGCATGAATGTCAGAGTGGCAAAATAGCCATTTCTAGCAAACAGCAGGAATGGCAGTAAGCAGACCAAGGGGTGAACAGAGAGAGAGGAGGATAGAACTGACCATCCTTCCAATGAACTATTTGAATCTATGGTTCCCTTGGCCTCATCAGAAATGCCCCAAAGACAGCTCAAGATGAAAGTCCACATGACTTTCCACTAACAAATGCATTAAAGTCCAAGAAACTAGGAATGCTTTTTTGACATCAGACTGTATAATTCACATTACATCCAGAGTGTCTATACAGAATATATAAAGAATCTGAGAGCAAGGTTTCTTTGGGGGGGGGTGAGGGTGTGCAGATTGTACAAACAACTTTTTAAGCCTAATCAAATAGATATTTCCTGTAATGGAAGAATAGCAGAAGATGATCACTTCTATTAAAACTGAAAAATATCTATCCAGCTTAAAGGAATAATTTATTGATTTAGTTGCTTAAAGGAATAATTTACTAACCTTGTTCTGGGTGTCATTTTTGTGGGTGACAATAGCCCTTCAGAAAATTTGCTGGGATTCTTCAAAGGTGAGACATAGATATTATTTCCAGCAGAAACACGTAAAGGAGAATTAGAAAACTTATAAGGGCTCTGTAGAATGTGAGGAATGGGTGTTAATGTTGGAGGCTGGAAGACGAAATTTTAAATTAGCGCTATGGGGATTTGTCAATTTTTATTGAGAAATAGTCATTAGAGGATATAGACGCATAATTACTTACCCTATTGGAAGCATATTGCAAAATATTAGTTTTCAGTCTTTGCATAAATACCATGTTGTAGAAGACTATAATGGAATCGTATTGTCCTTCCCTGATTAAAACACACTTGAATGTCTAGATGGAATTGATGAGAAAGTTAAGCATCAGCCATCTATTCCAGTAGCTATATCTGTTTGTGACATCTTAATTTGTAAGGCTTTTCCTTCTTTGGAAAATTCTTATGTTCACCCTCCCTCCCCCATCTTATCAAAGTTAGTTGCCTTAATCTGAGAAAATGTTTGGATGAATTAATCAGTGAATTTCACCTTTTTTTGAGTAATCCTTTTCAAATGTTTTAGACATGTGGTATACTGAATACAGTAAAATGCGAGGGAACTATTTTTAAGTGGCATCTCATGCTTGGATATAGTGATATACTAATTAATTGTGGCATTGTGCATAGTTTTTAACCACATATTCATTTGGAATTTTGAGAACATGTGGCATTCTTGAAAAATGGCTAATCTGGCAAATATTGCTGATTGCTAGCAAAAATCAAGTAAGATTGTTTCGTACCACAACTGCTAGAAGATGTCACAAATCAGTGATGTCTAGAACAGAGGTCACCAACCTTTCTTGGTTGGCGGACCAGAGGAAAGGGACAAGGAAGCATTTTATACGTGTGCGTGTGCGCATGCATGGGGCCATGAGCACACATGTGACACAAATGGGGCAGGGCTAGTGCCCACGTGATACTCGCCAGCCCTGCCTCATTCTTGCAAGGCGCAGCGTCCCGTTTTCATGCCCTGAGGTGCAGCAGCATCCTGTTTTCACACACCATGGTGCAGTGGCGTCCTGTTTTTGCGCCTTGAGGCACGGCAGTGGCTCATTTTTGAACCCTGCAGTGTGGCGGCGTCCCGTTTTCAGCATCCTGTTTTCGCAGCCGCAGCGCTAGCATAAGTGGGGGTGTGTGCACACAAATGTGCATGCACTGGCCAGCCTGTCCCGCAGCCCAGTGGCTACAGATTGGGGACCCTTGGTCTAGAAGCTTGTGGTTGCTTACCATTGTTGCAAACATACTCAGGATAACAGTTTTAATGAAAATAATGCTAAAAAGTGTCCCATACCTCTTGATTTGCATTGTTGAGATCCTTGTATGCTGTCACAATCGTTTTAAACCTGAGATCAATATTCTTCACCTTACATATGCCATACATAGAACACATCATAATCTGTTGAAATGCAGAGAGGAACCATCACAACTCATCATTAAAGAAAGTTCAGCCCAGGCTTTTCAGGAATGGAAAAAGCTTTGAGAACTTAGCTTTTGGAGCACTAATTTTATTTTTAAAATATGTAAAGTTTATTTAAACAACTGAAATAACAAACATAACAAGATAATAAAACTATAAGAAATAATAAAACTATGTAATATTAAATAACATTTTAACAAAAAAACAAAATCCTTTAAACATTGTACTCCAAAATAATTGGGGCACCAGCTTGAGAAAGGTTAATGTAGATGTTTAACATGAGAAATACTGTAGATATGGATTACCATTTATATCCCAACCTTGGGAATGAAAGTGAATCCTTTACTTCTTAAAGTTACCACTCTAAATAGGGATTTCAATGACAAATAGGAATATAATGGACTCATACTCCCTCTATCCCTCTAATCTTGTTTTACCATTTGTGTGTTACTATTTACTTCTCACATACTTTGGACACATCATACAGGGGAATTCACTGAAGAAAGCAATTATGCTTGGAAGAGTTAGCAATAAAAGGAAACCTGGCTGTCAAAGAATATGGTGGCTGGACACCATCAAAGCAGCTCCAGAGCACAGAAAAGCTCAAAACAGTCCAAGACTGAAAGATGTGGAGAGACCAGGCCCATAGAACTATCAAGGGTTGGACACAACTGAATGGATAACGTTATCATTTGTTTGCTTGCCTATCATCAAGTTTCTGACATACCTAAGGTAAGGTAAGCTAAGGTGTAAAATTATTCATTAATGCACCAGAGGGCAGGACAAGAAACAATGGTTGGAAACTGACCAAATAGAGAAGCAACCTGGAATTAAGGAGAAACTTCCCAACAATGAGGACAATTAACCAGTGGAACAGCTTGCCTCCAGAAATCGTGAGCACTCCATCACTGGAGATTTTTAAGAGGGTAGACAGTCACTTGTCTGAGATGGTATAGGTTCTCCTGCTTGAGCAGGGTGCTGGACTAGAAGACCTCCAAAGTCCCTTCCAGCTCTATTCTGTTCTGTTCTGTTCTGTTCTGTTCTATTCTATTCTATTCTATTCTATTCTATTCTATTCTAATTCTAATTCTAATTCTAATTCTATTCTATTCTATTGCCATTGTTTTAGCATGGAAAATCTAAATTAAAAAGGTAACATAGTAAATAAGCCCATCCAGTCAGATATATTACCTGGTCTAAGTGTCTGTCTTTCATCAGTTCATATTCATTTTGCAGTGTGTGATGAAAAAGGGTCCATATCAAATGTTCAAGTTCAGGATGGTCAGGCAGAAGACGCAAACATAGGCTATTTAATCGTCTATAAGCCAAGCAGTACACTGGAGGAGAGATTTGTTTATAAATTACAAACAAGGTCAAATCAATGTTTATGTGTATGTTTATATTTATAGAGACACAGGGAAATAATGTAATGTAACGTACAGAATATATTTACGAATTTACTCCAGGAATGTAACAAGATGTAGTGTTATTTTAATCACAGCAAAATTATATTAGCCTGTACAAAATCAGCATATTTATTGAGAGAGAGTGTCACTTTTGAGAATGGTATAGAAACTCTTCTTTTCTAATAACTGCTGTGATTTCAACAGAAGCATTTTTAGTAATCTGAAATCAGTGCTTGAATTTGTAGAAATATATTAGGAATTAGTAATATGTAAGTTTTATATTTTTCTTTTAATTTGGTAAACTCTACATGTAATAAAATTCTGTGACTCATATGTCATGGACAAATAATTACAGAAGATATCAAGAAATGCATTAAAATGTTTAAGAAATATAGATAATTTACATAATGCTGCAATTAAAATATACTTTAGGACTATTTTTAAAGTGCAATAAAGTTAGTGGTAAAGGGAGGCAATGGATTAATTTAGATCCGAAACATGCCTTAAATATTTGTTCAGTCTCCAGTCCTTCCTTTTATGCCCTTCAGCTGACCAGCCAGAATTGGCTTTTACCAGGCAAAGAAGATTGGCACAAGAGACTTTCTGTGCGGTTGGCTCATTTGCCCCCTTACCTGCTACCTTCATGATTTATTCCAGATTAGGGGTGTCCAAACTTGGCAACTTTAAGACTGGTGGATCTCAACTCCTAGAATTCTGGGAATTGGGGTCCACTAGTCTTAAAGTTGCCAAGGTTGGACACCCCAATCTAAATTTAACAACAATGTTGAAAAATAGCTTTTAAAATCCACCCACCTTTTTTATAGAAATATGACAAAGAAATAGATTTATAAGGTTTCTGAGGCTGATTTAGCCCCAAACCCTGCGACTCTGGAGAATATACAAAAGCGGGAGAAACTTTTTTCTTAGGAGATTTTGTGGGAGAGAGGTACCTAAAAACAGGATACAGACACGCAGAATAAAAAAAGGATAATTAGAATAATGATATTCTAGACCAGGGCTTTTCAACCTTTTCACCCACTGTACCACTTTTAGGATATGGCAATATCCGAATACCATCAGTCGCCTAGCAAGGTGTCAAAAACTTGATGACCCCCCCCCCCAAAAAGGAAAAAAGTAATAAAAAAGTACAGGTAGTCCTTGACTTACAACAGTTCGCTTAGTTGATTTTTATTGCCCCCATCTACTGGGTGGTTGCAGCAGGTTTTGGTCACTTCACATGACCACAGGACACTGTGACCATCATAAATATGAATCAGTGGCCAAGCAACTGAATGTAAATCACAAGACCCTGGAGATGCTGCAACATTCCAGCTGATTGGTGCTTCTTCAGGGCTCAAGAGAAGCACCAGGATCAGCGCCGAGCTCCAGCTGGAGCCTGGCGCTGTTCCTGGCGCTTCCGCTAAGCCCTGACAGTCCCGAAGAAGCGCCGATCAGCTGGAAAGTGGCACTGATCCTGGAGCTTCCGCTGAGCCCTGACAGCCCTGCAGCTCCAGCCATCTCTCACTCAGGCTTGTGTGGTGCTGCCACTGGTTCAGCTCATTCCCCTCCCCCACTACCACTTTTCTAGGATGGTCACGTACCACCTACCAGGTGCCAACGTACCACAGGTGGTACCTGTACCACTGGTTGAAAAGCCCTGTTCTAGACCACAAGCCTAATTTTCAAAACGACTTGAGTATAAGGTGGGCTAGCTCCTTCTCCATTGCTTTCCAATCCAGCTCTCAATGACTGTTATTAGTAAAGCACAGCTCACATAGCTAGAAAAAAATACAGTGTGAGACAAAGCATCATACTGGATCTATTTACTGCTGCACTTTGTTTACTGTCTTAACCTATTTACATTTTAATTCAAGTGTTTTAAACTTGCATTTGCTATAAACTTCCTTAGATGCCATTATGTATCAAAGACAGTAATATACAGAATAAAATAGCAGAAAGTAGCACAGTTCAGACAGATAAAAGGGTGGTTAAGAGTATTTCAAAGTGCAAGATATGGATCATGGATTTAAAGCTGCATCTATAGGGGGAAGCAACTGACAAAAGCAGCCTTGCATTGTCACAAAGCATGCTCACTCCTTTTCTATGAGCACTATGATGATGCTGCCTGCCTGCCTGCCCCACAAAAGCGAAGCTTGCAATACAATAGTAGAATGCTATTTTCACGATTTTGATAAAAGCAGCAAGTACTGAAGCTTATGATTATAGGAAAGCAAATTCAGAGTGAATATTAGGGAAATTCTTAAGAGAAAGTACAAATTGATAATGGAAACAGTTACCCAGAGAGGTAGCAGGCTTCCATTTCTTGCTGCATTATGTTCAAGCAGATGCTACACAACCGTCTATAAGCAATCTTTTAATCTGGATTCCACATGCAAGAGGGTAGCTCTATATGAAAGTGGAAAATATCTTCTTTGAGGACCATCTTACTTACAAATCTGCAGCACTGTGATTATGTTGAAGAGGTTGAGTAAAATAGTTGGCAGGTTCAGGCTCATCAGTCTGCCCCTCTCGGTCTTTGGACTGCTTTATCAGTTCAAATAATGGTGAATTCTAAAAGACACCAAACAATAATTACATTTCTTATGTAAATTCTTCTTACTCCTAACATAATAGTCTGTATTAGAAGTACCATCCTAAGAATATTCAGAATGGAAGCTAACTTTCATATACATTTGTTTCAAACATTTGTCAATGCAGCTTTTAACAGCAAGGAATTTAGCAACCATAGTACTTATATATGAAGTGTATATACATATAGAAAGCTGCATGTTAAGTTATTTAAATAATTACACTAATAAATCATAAATTATGAAATATATAAAGAAATCAACAATATTATAAGTATATACAAATTCATAAGACTTTCATATTGTTCCGCTTTATTTTAATTTCCTATTTGTGTCACAAATAAGCCTGATTTCCACACCAATAATATACCATGTAAAAATGTGCTATACTGAATCCCAATAAGGTTCACTTCTCTAAGCTTATAATATTAGGATAGGCCTTCTAAATCCTGCACTACCAATTCTGGATGCCAATGAAAAAAGTGCAGTGCTGCAGAATATCACAGTAGCATCCAAGTCCTGAAATTTCTATCCTAGAAGTCCCCTATTTAAGTAATATGTAGGTATGATTCAAAGGAATATTTATTTAACCCTGGAATGAAGATAAGGCTATATAAAAGAAAATGGCCAAAAATATGTAGTAAAACAATTCTCACGCATCAGATATTGCACAATGTTACTGAAAAGGATATAAACTTTTTCAAAATGTTGGTAATAACTAAGCATGCTCAGTGATGATGAAATATTCTCTAAGGGTTAGGAACCAACCAAAATCTGAGATGAAATGGAATGAAACAACCTGGAGGTTCATTGAATGCTGCTCTTGTGTATCTCAATTATCAACATTTTAATTAAAAAACTATCAAAGTAGCTTTTATTATTTCTACCTTAAGTTATCCTACTATGGAGGTCCCTAACATTAAACTATTTATACTTTTGGAAATTTTGCAAATATTTTATTCCTATTATAAGTAGCAAATGTAGAGAGTGAAATGAGTATGTTAAACTACTTAAAAAGTGCAACCAATTTACACTACTTTTTCCAACTTTGTACACAAAAATTCATTTATATTAAATAATAGCGGAAGTTTCTTTATTCTCTATGTCAACTTTTGTGATAACTAGTTGAATAATCAAAATTATCAAAATAGTGACAGAACATGACACACAGAGAACCTCTTCAGAAATGCTGCAGTAATACACTGTATGCACAATTATTAGGCAAGTGAGTATTTTGAACATATCATTTTCATGCATATTTTCCATCTCCAAGCTGTATAAACTTACAGATGATGTGTATTTGTGTAATGAGGCAGGGTGTGACAAGTGTGCATAATTTATTAGACAGCTTCTTTTCCTCAGGCAAAATGGGCCAAAAAAGAGAATTAACTGACTCTGAAAACTAAAAAAATTGTAAAGCCTTTCAGAGGGATGCAGCACTCTTGAAATTGCTAAGATATTGGGGCATCATCACAGAATCTTCAAACGTTTTGTTGCAAATAGTCAAAAGGGTTGCAAGAAACGTGTCAAGAAAAAAAAGATACACATTAACTGCCAAAGATTTGAGAAGAATCAAACGTGAAGCTACCAGGAAGCCATTATCCTCCAGTGCTGTCATGTTCCAGAACTGCAACCTCCCTGGAGTGCCCAGAAGTATTCGATGTTCAGTGCTCAGAGATATGGCCAAGGTAAGGAAGGCTGAAACCCAACCATCACTGAACAAGATAAGTTGAAATGGCAAGACTGGGCCAAGAAATATCTGAAGACAGATTTTTCAAAGGTTTTATAGACTGATGAGACGAGAATGAATCTTGACGGACCAGATGGATGGACTCAGACAGTAAGGTGTAAGTGGAGTACTGGTATGACCTGGTATTATTAAAGAAAGATGAGCTAGTTGGACCTTTTTGGGTTGAAGATAGACTCAAAATCAACTCCCAAAACTACTACTAGTTTTTAGAAGACACTTTCTTCAAGCAGTGGTACAGGAAAAAGGCTGCATTTTTCAAGAGGACCATGATTTTTATGCAGGACAATGCTCCGTCGCATGCATCGAAGAGCTCCACTGCAGGGCTAGCCAGTAAAGGCCTCAAAGATGAAAGAATAATGACATGGGCCCCTTCCTCACTTAAACCCTATAGAGAACTTGTGGGCCCTTCTTAAATGGGAAATGCACGGTGAAGGAAAGCAGTACAGCTCTTTGAACAGTATCTGGGAGGCTGTAGATGCTGCTGTACAAAACGTTGTGTCATGGTTCCAATAGATGAGACCAATTAAAAGAACTTCAAGGCAAGGAATTCTTCCTTAAAGAACATTTTTATTTGGCTACAAGATAGCGGCACATACAAAGGTGAACTCAAGACTAAATTCCCCTCCCCTTGGTTACAAAGTTGCAAGTTGCAATTCTCACCCCAATCTGCTCTCATAAATCATATTCACCAATTGTTAGAAAATGCGGGCACTCCTCCCAGCTCTCCAGCCCATCAAAATGTTATCAACAATGACCTTTGAATTGTTTTGGCTAACTCTATTTCCTTCTTTTTCTAAACTAAATATGTAGCAACAAAGGAAAATGAAAATGGCTTCAGTTCAGTTTCTCACAGCATTGATATTCGGCTCCCTTTAAAAGAAAGGAGAAATCCTGCAAATTAAACAAGAATAAAAATTAAGAATCCCCTCTCAGTTTACTTGGATGCTTATCATAGAATTTGCGTATAAGTCTATCAGCTTTCACATCAGTACTCTTCATCTAGGTGGCTTCTGATAATGGGTATCCCTTCCACTGCACTAAATATTGCAATTCACCCGTGTATAATCTAGCATCAAGAATACGCTTTACTTCATAATGAGTCTCTCCAGTCATCACAAGCGGGCCAGGTGCTTTCTTAGGAGGAGGTCTCAGAGTTGATTCTCTAAAAGGTTTTAACAGACTGCAGTGAAACACTGGGTGGATCTTTCCTAAAAGACGAGGGAGTTTTAATTCTACAGTGACCGGGTTTAAAATCTGCACTATGGGAAATGGTTCCAGGTATTTTGACCCCAATTTTTTGCTAGGTAACTTAAGTCTTAGATACTTTGTAAAAAGATAAACCATTCCCCCCACCCGGAATGACTTCTGAGGTGCTCTTTTCTTATCAGCCTGTTTTTTTGTAAATCTCTAAGGCTTTTGTTAAAGCTTTTTTTGTATTCTCCCAAACACCTCTCCAAGCAGATACCCATTGATCTAATGTTTGAGAGGTAGGGGGTCCTGGGGGTATTCAGGCATCGGAATAAAATCCCTTCCAGAGGCTCTTTGAATGGCATAAGTCCGGTGCTGCTGACTGAGGAGATCAATCCAATTTGTCTGCTGGTAATTACGTAGCTTCTAAGATACTGCTCCACCACTGTGTTCACTTTTTCAGCCGCTCCATTCGTAGAGGGATGAAAAGCCGATGAGAGTCCTTGTGTAGACCCAATCAGCTTGAGGAAATCCCTCCAAAATCTGGCTGTAAATTGAACTGTCAGAAATTATTCATTTTGGTGTGCCATGCAATTGGTAAATATGCTTGAGAAATAACTTGGCTATTTTCTGGGCAGATGGGAGGCCAAAGCATGCTATAAAGTGAGCTTGCTTTGAAAAAAGGTCCACCACAGTCCATATTACTGTATTTCCTTTACTTTCCGATAATTCAGCAATAAAGTCCATAGCGATCTCTTCCCATAGTTGAGAAGGATCCGTAACAGGCTGTAACAGCCCAGGGGGCTTTCCTGGGATCCTCTTCATGGTAGGACAGACTGCACAGTTTTTTACATAGCTCTCCACATCTTTCTTTAAGCCTGGCCACCAAAATTGCCTCCAAACTAAGTAGTATCTTTAAATAGCCAAAGCATCAGCTAAGAAATTCTTTTCACCCAATATGTATTTTAGGGTAAAGTTAAAAGGATTAAATATTGTGCCCAGCGTAGTTGTTTGGGAGACAGTTTACGGGGAGTTTTCAGTGCCTCTAAGTTTTTGTGATCAGTCCATACTTCAAAAGGCACCTTGCACCCCTCTAGGAAATGACGCCAAGTCAATAAAGTCCATCTGATTGCAAAGGCTTCTTTCTTCCAAATGGCCCACCTCTGCTCTGTGTCAGTGAGTTTTTTGAAGGGTAAGCGCAGGATTTTAAATTTTCTTCATGGTTTTTTTGTAACAGCACTGCCCCCACAGCCACATCGCTGATATCAGCTTGAACAACAAATTGCTCCTCAGGAGGATGGTGTTTGAAAATTGGTTCTGCAGCAAACAGTCTTTTTAAATTTTCAAAAGCAGTTTGGCACTCTAACGACCAATATAGGGTTGACCTGGTCGTGGTTTACCCCCATCCTTGCCAGTTTTTAATAGTTCTATAAGGGGCAAAGCAATCTCAGCAAATGAAGGGATAAATTGGAGGTAGAAATTAGCAAATCCCAAAAAACTTTGGAGCTGTTTCAGAGTTTGTGGGGGCTCCATTCAATCACTGCTTTTACTTCAGCTGGATCCATTTCAATGCCTTCACTGGAGATTCTGTAACCCAGATAATCCAAATGTGTCTAATGGAACTCGCACTTTGAGAGTTTGGCATAGAGTTTAGCGTTCAGCAGTTTCTTTAGTATTTCTCATACTAAAACTGTATGTTCTGCCATAGTCTCTGTAGATTAAGATGTCATCAAGATACACCAAAACCCCTTAATATAAATGATCATGCAGCACCTGGTTGATCAGCTGCATGAACACAGCAGAAGCTCCTTGTAATCCAAAAGGCCTGACTTTAAACTGGTAATTACTCAGGGGGCTATTGAAGGCAGTTTTCCATTCATCACCTTTTCTTATTCTCACGTGATAATACACCTCTCTTAGGTCTAATTTGGTACAAATTCATCCTTTTGCCAGGTGGGCTAACATGTCCTTCATTAAGGGAAGAGGGTACATATTCCCCACGCTAATAGCACTCAGACCTTTAAAATCAATGCAGAGTCTAAGCC